CAATTTAACAAATTTTAAGCATTATTTCTAGTTACAACTTGAGTCTAAAGCTTCTACAGACCCCAGGATAGGGAAAACTCTTCTAGGCTCAACATATTAACGTATTTTATTAGGATAAAGTCTTATTTAGAGAAGTAATATAATTTGATGGAAATGGGGAAAAAAGGAGGGCATTGCATGGTTTGCAATAGGGTAGGGCTCATGAAGGTGATTAAAACTGGAGAAGGGTTTTTTTCCCCCCTTACAATAATGGCCCATCTTTTCACGTGAAAATCGATCTCCAGGAAGTTACAAATTAAAAGTCTGATTTAAAGTTTGAGCATAGATAGGGGTCTGAAAAAAGGCAACAACATAGGACAAACAAATTCCAAATTTTTGCTTTCCTGTGTTAACTTGCTTAGGCCTTCCAGTTATTTCTTAGCAAAACAGATGATGGTAAAACAATAATAAATGCAACTCATTCTAAAATATTTGATTTTCTGCCTTATTTTCTACCTGAATTTCCTTCTCTTGCAAAGTGCTAATTTAAAAGGCACTTATGGCCAAAACGGATGTAAAGTGATATTTTTAAGAAAAATCAGTCCTCTTCGCCAGTTGCTTGTTGCATCACAGGCAAGAGTGAAATTGAAATAACCCCAAATGTATGGCAGTTCCAAAAGACTGAACAGAAATACGATAGTGTTATTTTAAAGAAAGCTTTTCTTTAATCAATGCACAAACCCAGTTACTAGCAGTGGAGACAAGCAAGTTGTCTTGTAGGCCATTGAGATGAGCTCCTATTCGCTTACTTCTGGAATCTGTTTGCAAAACTCTCCCTATTAGTCCCATTTATTCAGTCAATTATTCTATCAATTTTCTGGGCCTTATCCACACACTGGTCCTTCTTCAGCACAGGGAAATCTTGCTAATTACCTTGAGGATAAATCTCCATAATAGGCTCTTCCTCTTAGTGCCAGTGATAATTTTCCATTGAAAACGCAATGCATTTTCATATGCAAACATTCTGATCCACAAGGAAGAACCTGATGGAAGTTGGTCATTCACATAGCTCCATTTGGCATACTGTAGGATTGTTTCCGTCCATCTGGCCACAGGGCTCTCTACTTCCAGGCCAATTCTGCTTTGGCTCCCGGAGGGAACAGAAAGTCTAGCAACCAAGCCATATTTTCTTTCTTTTGAGGCTCTAGTGGGAATAGTATGTTCTGGAAAGTCTTCCAGTAGGTTGCTATTCCTACCTGTAACCTTCACTACTTGGCATTTCTCTTCTTTCCTCTTGGCACCCTTTCTGCACCAAAGGAAGAAAATGGCAAGTTGAAAGAAAAAGAGGCAGGGTCCTTTTCTTCTTTACAGCTACACTTTCTTCCAAGCTCTCATTAAAGCCATTTCAATGGCTTTGAGGGCACCAAACCTGTTGATCTGTTTTGGAAGCATCGCAAGGGTGAGTAGGCAGTGGTTTCTTAAAATGACAATGGAAAACACATTGTTGGGCTTCGGGGAATAAAAGATCTCAGAAATCTAGAAAACACATTTTGAGATTATCTTGAACTTTCAGGTTATAATTCATTTATATTTGCCATCTGCCATATTGAAAGAAACAAGGGATATTGTATTCCAAAACATCTGGGAACTGCCAGGTTGCCTACATCTGTACAGAAAATGGTTGCTAATGTCTATGTAATATGTTCAGTTAAAATATACAATTTGGTTCAGAAGCTTCATTGTAAACTGGGAGTTACCAACAGCATATTCTACATCTGGTGGCGAACCTATGGCATGTGTCCCACAGGTGGCACGCAGAGCCCTCTCTGCAGGCACACAGGCCATCATCCCAACTCAGTTCCACCATGCATGTATGCATGCATGTGCTTCCTGCTGGCCAACTGGTTTTTGGGTCTGCCACACAGTGGCGGTGGGAGTGGGGGGGGGAATGCACGCTTCCGCGGGGTCATGTGCACATGCACGGGGGAGAGCACATTGCATTACAGCATGCAACAGCAAAAAGGTTAGTCATCACTGATATAGATTCATACATAGAAGAATATATTGAAGTTGGAAGATAAAAATCTGTATATGTAATTGTATTAGTACTATGAGCACTGTGAAAAATATGTTAACCCAGTCATTACCCTGTCCACAAAAAATGTTGGTT